CCCGCCTCGATGGCACTGAGGGTGTCTGGGCTGGAGCACATTCCCGCCTCAGCAGCAGCTGCGGGGGGCTTCCTATAGGACACCCAGGTCCAGGCCTGTGTCTCTCTCTGCTCTGCCAGTCCACGGACCTGTGGGCACTGCCTGGCGCCTGGGGACTGAGCCAGGCCTGGAAGAGTTGGGCATGAAAAGTGTGGAACCTGGTCTCACGCTCAACACCCTTCTGAGTTGGGGTGTGGAGCTGGGTGGGAAGAAGCTGGCACGCACGGGATTGAACACTGGAGGGGGCACGATGGGACACAGGTCTTGCCTGGTGAGGGTCAGAGGGCAGTGAGCTCTGGGCAGGGCAGCCTGAGAGGCCTCAGACCCTGCGGCTTTCTGTCTCTCCTTTCAAGGATCTTCTAACCCCAAACGACTGAGGAGGAAGTGAGAGGCACGAGTCTTGATTTGCAGTTTCCGGGAGGGGCCGGGAGGGGGACCTCCTCTAGCTGGAGCAGGAAGGCCTCCCTGCTGTCAGAGCCCAGGCAACGGGCTCGTGTGCGGGACTCTGACAGCAGGCAGCATGTCCTTATCCTTGACTAAATTCACAGTGACCTTCACGGAGCCAGAGCAGTTTTCTGGGGTCCCTGAATACTGGGTCAGAGCGGGGTCAACCTCAGGTATATTCGGGGAGGACCGTCTCTGAGGGTGTCCAGGGCCCGAGACCCCACACCGCTCTCCACCCCCCTTCCTGCCCAGCAGTTGGGGCTATTCACAGAGCTGCCAGCTTCCCAGCCACCTGCCCCCTCAGAGGACTCAGCAGAAGCCCAGTGACTCCCTCAAGTTCAGCTGTGGCCTGAACTGGGTGTTCCCCATCCTCCTCAGATGTGATGTGTTAATTTGCATAAATGTTAATGGCCATTTCCCGCAAGAGCTATCCTTATGTCATCTCCCTGTTCCTTAAGCAGCAGGGGCAGGGCCAGGTTAGGCCCCTCCCCTCCTGCCAGTTGGAGCCAGGTCACTTCTTTGGCTCTGCCCCTTGGAGGAAGCCAGCCCCGTGGACATGCAGACCTCGGCCACCCTCGGGGAAGGCCACTTTGGAGGTGTTGACGGCAGGTGTGGAGGAAGCCAGCACCCTGGGGTGTGTCCGAGTCACTGGGGGGGCTGCTGGGAGCAGAGAATCCCGGTGACGCCATCCTGCTGGCCTGGCAGGTCCCCAGAATGAGGACACAGTGGTGCTCAGATGTCAGAGAGATGGCAGGGCCCGGCCACTGGGCGGGATGACGGGGAGGAGAGATTGCGCTTCCCACTGACTTCACGGCGGGTCTTGTAAATAACCCTGCGGGTAGGCTGGTTAGCCAGGAGGGGGAAACTGAGGCACGGGGCGGTGGTGAGGCTGAGCCGGCCTCCTGGCTCCGGAGGAAGCCTTGGTTCTGTTCCTGCTGCTCCCCTCCTCATCAATCCTTAGCCTCCCCGGACGTCAGGGTTCGATCCCAGCTCCCCGGGATGTGGAAACTGCCTTTCTCACGAGTGGGAACCCCAGCACGCTCAGCCCCCACTCACTTGTGCCCCCATTTCTTGGGGTGACTCTGAGGAGGCGTGGTCCTTGGCTCAGCCAGTTCAGGGGAGAAGAATGGCACAGGGGCTCCCTGAGAGCACACCTGGGCCAGGGGGGGATGTCACCCACGTTCATCCGTTCACCCCGTCACTGTGAGGGTAGCCCGCAGCTCTCCGTGAGGCCTGGCCTTGGCAGGTACCATCTCCCCGCCAGGTGGGCACGCGCAGGGCTGCGTCTTCTCAGCCCTTTGCCACATCCGATGGGGCTCAGCGGGCCTGCCTCCCCTCCCCCGTGCCCTGGGAGGCTCTGGCCCCGCACCCCAGCCTGAGGGTGCCCTGCACCGCACACCCCTCTTCCCAACTCATAGCCCTGAGGGACGGGGTCTACGGAGGCCACGCCTGCTCTGCCCAATGGCCATGTGGTTAACCCCAGAGACATCAGAGCTAACGCCTTGTGCCACACCAGCACAGCCAGGTTCCGGGAGCCGGGGGGAGAGGGGGGGCGGTGAAGGATAAAGCTGGGTCTGGGTGGGATGCTGCCCTCTCTGAAGGAGAGACAGCACCATGGCCTGCGACCCGAGTCTTTATTTTATAGCAGATTCCACGAGGCAAAGCAAGGGCGTGTTAACAACGTTCTCACGGGTTTCGAATCTACTCAGTTACATGCACCTGTTCAAGCTTTGTTTCCTTGCTGCACCTTCTGCAGCCCATACCACTGAGCCACGTGGGGCCACAGGTTCGGACCATAACCTGTCCAAACACTGTAACCGCTCTCCACAACCCCTCCCCGTACCTGGCACCTGCCTCCCTCATACCTGGCACCTGCCTCCCTCATACCTGGCACCGGCCTCCCTCATACCTGGCACCGGCCTCATGAGCTCCCTCCTTGCAGGCAGCCCGTCTTCTCTCTGGCTCCTGCGCTCAGCACTCGCAGAACTGAGTCCCAGTGCCGTGTGGGATGCAGATGAAACAGGGCTGGAGAAAGGGAAAGGCAGGCGCAGGGGGCCCTCGCTCGGCCTCATGTCCGCGCTGCAGACGCGGTAGGCGCTCTCCCCACCGCGATCGGGAGCCCTGGCTGCTGCACATTGAGACACGTCACCCGACGCGAGGCGGATGCCAGGCAGGCGCATGTCTCTCCTCAGAACCCGCCCCAGCTTCCAAGATGAAGCAGCAAACTGTTCACGCCCAGGTCCGTTTCCCCAGTAAGCACGCGACATCCCCACGTCCCGGGTCCCAGCGACGCTCACAGGGCCCTCTATCACCGTCTTGACCCCTGGTCCCAGGGGGAACCTGAGGGCCTGGCCCTCTCCCTCTCAGCCACTTGGCCCCGTCTGCGTCCCCCTTTTCCTGGATCAGCGAAATGGGATGCGTTGGGTGGAAGCATCGGGACAGTCCCTGGCACAGACACTCAGCAACGTCACTTCTAGTCACAGACTGAGCCCAACCACTGCCCTCCCTGGTGGCTCCCGGGACAGCTGGACAGAGGGTCGCTGTGCGCGCACAGGTTGGTGGGAAGAAAAGTCGCTTTTCGGGTTAATGGGTCCCTTCTGGCATCTGCTCGTCTGTCCCGTCGGCAGTTTCCACAGTGCGTGATTCTGTTCCTGCCCTAAGAGGCCTTTCTGGGGACACTGTGAAGTGTGGGGTCAGGGCTCAGCCTTCCAGCTGCACCGATGGCTCGGCATCTAGTGTGACAGCAGAGAAAGGGGGACACGTCGGGGCCACAGGGAGTGGGGCCCGAAACAGTCCCCAGGGTCCTGGCGCAGCTCTGCCAGCTCCTCCCTTCACCAGCCACTGGGCTAGGGGTGCCGAGGCCGTACTTTGAGAAACACTTCCCAGCTCTGTTTATGGGTGAGCTTTCCCGCTCCCTCCTTAATGTAGCGCAGGAGGAAACGCTGATAGTGACAGCCCTGGCAAAGGCTTCACCGGCATCTTCGGTTCTCTGACCCAGGAACCGGGTGTGTCCTGGGGAATGACCCCTGCGCTTTTGTCAGCTTGAATCTCAAGTCACACTGTTTCCGGTGTGAGGTGCGGGGTGTGCTTGGTGAGGTGCTCTTGTTAGCTGCGTCCCTTCTCTTGGAAGGAAGTTTGGTCGGGGTGCTGGCTGTCCCAGCCTGTCCCCTGTGGTGTGGCATCTCGCCCTCCTCCGCTGCCCCCGCCCCTGTCCCCTGTGGCATCTCCCCTTCCCCCGAAGCCTCTCCCTGCTCTGCGGCTCCCCGCCACCTCCTGGGATTGCCTGTCCCTGTCAGTGAGGAGGAGGTATTTTTAGTCGCCCAGGCCAGGAGGTGTTCAGGTGTCAGGGACAGGAGGCCTGGAGCCATCTCCATCCGTTTGCTCCTCAAAGGACACACGATGCCCAAAATAGGAACTGCGAAGCCTAAGGAGCAATTGCCACCTCCCGAAGGGAGAGCAGTCACCCGCGCACACGCCCCTGGAGAAGGGGGGCCGTCACCCCGCACACACGCTCCGGGAGAAGGGGGGCGGTCACCCCGCGCACACGCGCCCGGAGAAGGGGGGCCGTCACCCCGCACACACGCTCCGGGAGAAGGGGGGCGGTCACCCCGCGCACACGCGCCCGGAGAAGGGGGGCCGTCACCCCGCACACACGCTCCGGGAGAAGGGGGGCGGTCACCCCGCGCACACGCGCCCGGAGAAGGGGGGCCGTCACCCCGCACACACGCTCCGGGAGAAGGGGGGCGGTCACC